AACTAGGTCGTATATGAAAAGAACAGATTAGGGTTTAATGTAGAGCTCAATTTCGTTTTTGCATGGTAACTCCAATATATATTGTCTTTTTAGTGATCTAATTTCATCAGTCACGTCAATGAAATGGGTTGACGTAAATGGGTTGACGTAAATAAGTTTTCTCAAAATTATTTAAAAACATTTAAGATAATAATTTTATTTAAGTGCAAGTAATGTAAATCACTACAATCACTAAACCTCTATAGTTAGTCCTTTAATCTTAAATACCATGATCATACTATTTATCAATCACGTAAAAATGCATGTGGGTGCTATATGCTATGCACTAAGGAGACTTAAAATCGTACTACCTGATCGATGATAAATATTTATACGTTCACTTGCTCAAGTTATTTATTGATCGATATCATACGATCAAGACTTATATTTAATTCATGAGATAAAAATCAGAAAGTGCATAAAATCTTGTTAAAGTCATGTTGTTTGGTAGATTTTAGTCAAACTGCCTAATAGCCAGCGACTAATACGAGTAGTGACTAAAAATGCGTAAACAAATGCGTATTTTTTATTTGAATTTGTTTTTCGCAATAAAAGACAAATTTTACAGTGCAACTGCATCCTGCATTATGCCAATTCATATCGAAATCTATTGATCATTTTAATAAATGTCAAAATGTGACAACAAATTGCAACGGGCAAGAGGGTACCGATATTTGTGGTACCGAGTAACCTGGCAAGTCCGATGGAAGCCAAATATGCTATTTACTCATTCTTTGCCACTCACCAATTGACCAGCTTCATTATTTGTTAGACCGCAGTTTGGACACAGAAACTCCAATTCGAAAGATCGTTTTCGTTACCATTAATTTTTAATAGGTACATGCGAAATTGGTGATTTTTTATCGCATAAAAGTGTTTGATATGCGCGAAAAAGGGGGCGTGGCCCACGCATGCGTTGCGACTTGAATTCAAATTAAATTGGCCTCAGCACACAGCATATTTATCAACTGATTTGAATTTCAGTCAGTCAAAATGGATTGAAAAATCGTTCAGTCACTGAACTGCATTCATTATTTTGTTGGCTCTTTTATTTATTTTAATATTTTCTATTGATTTTGGTGATTTGGCTGTGATTGCATGCGCCACTCATAATCAATCTCACAATCACACTGAGATCAGTAAGTGGGCAGCACACCAGGTGGCTCAGTCTTGCTTGGAGTTGATTTGGAGCGTTTCATTGTTTGTTGAATTGCCAGAAAATTTTTAGATTTGTTAAGCAGATTTTAGTTCTATTTCTATGGTCCAAAAATTATTAAAAAATTAATTTTAATTAAATCATAAAAACTTTTTATAAACATCTGCGTTATTTGTAAACAGCTATAAAATTTTAATCCATAGCATTTGACTAACCGTCAATCAAATAAGACGGCATGCATTGAGTTCAAAATGTGGTTTAATTCCTTTTATTTCAGAGAATTGATAAGTGAATGTAAATAATTAGAGTAAGTATACTGTGCAACAAACCAGTTGATCTACAGTATCACTCTCTCAAATCGTGGAACAAACCAGTTAGACTCTAGCTGGAATAAATCAATTAGTCTCTGGTTAAAGTCTGGATGAAACATAGTAGAATCACTGTCTTAAGCTGTAAAACATATCAGTCTAAACTGTGGTTTAAGTCTATATAAAATGTGATACCGTCACTATCCTAAACTGTGGAACAAACCAGTTAATCTCTAATTAAAGTCTGGATGGAATGTGAAACAAACCAGTTAGTGTCTGGTAAAATCTGGATGAAATATGATAACGTCACAATCCCAAACTATGGAACAAATCAGTTAGTGTCTGGTTAAAGTCAATATGAAATGTAACAGTACCAGTATCTCGAGCTATGAAGCAAACCATTTAGCCTTAAACTCTGGTTTGGATGAAATATGATAGTATCATTATCCCACACTGTGGAACAAACCACTTAATCTCTGCATAAAGTGTGTATGGAACGTAATAATGACGCTAGCTCAACCTGTTTAACAGAGTTTTCCATTCTGTTATTTTGAAAGTACACGGTATAAAACAAACTTTATGAAAATTTCAAAAAAATTTGTTTTAATATATTGTGATATATGACATCATTCAAAAGTTGTTCATCATACTTCTGATAGTACTGGATCTGTTAGGTGACATATCAGAAAACATTTTAGTGCCTATCTGAAAATAACTTCGCCATAATTTGAGAGTTGTTCGTTTTTAACGTGACAAGAATTTGAGGATTGTCCATATAAACGCGATCCTTTCCTGACACCTTAAAAAAAGATCAGTGGTAAGATAATTTGCAACACACCAGATAATTTGGCAGGCCCCACCATCTTGTTAAAAAATTATATCCCTCACATCTGTGTCTTTAATTTCCAATTTTCTGCTAAAAAATCGAAATCATGTGGCTGCGTACACGGAATTGACTATCATTTTCAAAAAAAGAAAAGAGCACCTAAAAGAGTCAGACCAAGTTCCACACCACACAACGCATTCTTCTGAACGCAACGGACCTGCAATAGTTACTTGTGGTTTTTTAAAACTCTAAATGTAAAAAATTTGTTTGTTGGCATAGTCGATTATCGAAACCATCGTGCAAAAAATGTTGTTCGTTTACCCATAGTGCCTATGTACTATAAATTCCCTGTGAAATGATAAACCCTAAGCTAACACATAATGTTTCTATTCTATTTGATGTATGCCTCTAAAGCAGTACTGCCAAATCAGAATAATGCATTGATAACCCTATATTTTGGGAGATAATAGGTGTTTTGAGAACTTCAAGCCTTTTTGAAGTTCTTTAATTAAAACCGAATAAATTGAAAAGACCGGCGCAAATGAGGTTTGAGATGCAACTGAACTTTATTATTTTAAAGCAACATTTTACAAGCAAACACGGTTGCCACTTATGGTACTTTAGTACCAAAATTGGTACTTTTTTTTTCGTTTGGTACTCATGTTTAAAAAAATGGTACATTTTTGACGACCCAACTTTATTGTGGATATTTCCAATTAATTTTTTTTATAAATGCAACTTTGCACTATTTTATTTTTTGTTCATTTATAACACTATGAAAAACACAGAACGAGAAAACAAAAAGGTCCAAAAAAATTTTGTACCTTTTTTTACAGAAATGGTACCTTTTTAAACCAATTTTGGTACAGAAAAAAATTTTCAAGTGGCAACCGTGCAAGCAAATTAAAATATATCAGGGTTGCCAAGCAACTATTATGATTTGTCTAGACAATAGGTTTTGTAATATTTTTTATGAAAAATTCAAAAGGTATTTCACTTAAATTATTTAACTTCTTATAATCGGTGTTATGAAAGATTGGTTATTTTGACAATTTTTTTGAGTGTATAGAATTAATGAATCGAATATATTTAAAAAGAAATCTCATTCGATACTGTTATTGCTCATCAATAAAACAAACAGTCAATCAATTTTATCAATATATTGATTTCTTCAGTCTGTTCTTGATTTGAGACTGCATGTTAAATTTCTAATAGATGGACTGGCTGACATCGCTTATTTTATCTTTAACTACATTTTTAAGATAACGTAAGTATTCTGTAAAAAATAATATTTTACACCCTTCATTCCTAATAGTGTGAAATGCATATACCATAGCAAAGTATAAAGACGATTTAAATAAAGATAGGTTGACATGATAACTGTATATTATATATTTTATTATTATTATTATTATGTTTTTATTTATGCAATCTATAATTCTTAATTTGTTACATTATCATATCTTCGATGCTACTATGGAAATGTTGTTTTTGCGAACAAGTGAATATATATATATTTATATGTTTTTCTATATACATTTTAAATATATAAGAATATTTACTTTAATTTTATAGTTTCAGAAGGCAAATATTTAAAGAGTATCTTAATGCTAACCTTAGTTGTATTCTCAGTGACTTTATTGACTTGGGCACATGTTTACAAAGTCCCTGAAGTAGGTACTAAATTGAAGTGAAGACACATTTCTCTAATGGAAAGGTCCGGATTTGCAACTGCAAAGTTTAATATAGTTTCAATTGAGGTGTCATTTGTTTGAGATGTCGAATTGTTGGAATTGTTACGTGAGTTTTTTTCATCATTTTGGTTACTTATATGATCTCCCTCTATACGATTGTATATCTTTCCACATTCGTCACATAAAGAGAAACTACACAAGTGCAAATCCAAATGTTTATGAAAAGCACATTCACTCTGAAACTTGTCACCACATACATTACAAGTGTATAATTGACTTAACTGATCCACAAGATTTTCTTCTGATATATCGTTCTCATTCCCACCCAAACTTGAAAATGAATGCTCGTCTTGCTCCCTATTAGAATGTTCACCATCCAAAGAGAGATTCATTTTATCTTTAATGTGTGGTGGAAGAATCTGTATTGGTTCATCCATAACCAGCTTATCCTCATTCAAAAGAGAAGAATCCATTTGACTCAACTTAACTGGACACGTAATGTGCGTTTTAACGTGGGCTACAAATTTGGCCAATGTTGGAAATGATTTCGGGCACTTAGCACAAATATATGAGTGCTTTGTATTATGCAATCGCAGATGCTTTGTCATATTGCCTTTGCTTGAAAAATTTTTATTACATATGGGACACGCAAAGGGCATTACATTTGCATGCGTTAATGAATGATATCTCAAATCTGTACGACGAGTATACCCCTTATTGCAAAGAACGCAAATGAAAGGTCTAAACAACGTGTGTACGTTTGTGATATGTTCAATGAGAAACTTACGAGTTACAAATCCGTGCCCACAAACGTGGCATATAAAAGGAATAACCTTGTCGTGACACATTTCGTGTTTCATCTGTTCCAATTGATCAGTAAACGCCAAATCACAAAACTGGCACAGAGAACTTAGCTTGTTTTTGAAATAAGATGGAGAACTTTTGTCACATTCATTATTTTTTAATCGTATAGAGTAGAGTGTTTTAGTTTCCTCAACTTTCTTTGAATTACTTTCAGATAGATGGCCTGTGATTGCATTCAAGTGCGATTCGCTAAATGGTTCAGTTGTTGAGCTTGGATTCTTAAAGCTTTTAGTTATTGTAACATCTGTAGACAAGTTAAATCCCGTTGGAAGTGGGATATTACACTGAACATCATTTTCAGAAACATCATACTCATCACAATCAGAAGAATTATATTCACCAGGACAGCAATTAGTTACCTTCATTTTATTTTTAAAATATAAATTCAATTCATTAGATGTTTGAACAGTTACCTTAGGTTCAGTAAGTACTCCTACTGTGACATCATCTATATAATTGATATCATTGCGTACTGTTTCCTTCTTATTTGAATTCTCAACTCGTTCGTACATACCTACATAAATTTATAATTTTTATTTAAAGTTTTAAAAACATACAGACTGCATTTTACCTGACGAGAATATTGATTTCTTAAACAAGGCAGATTTCTTCAGATCCGCACGTTTTAACCGCAACTCTTTATCGGAAACTTCAGTTTTCAACCAACTTACTATATTAGTATCTACAGACATAGTAATACCGTTCTCATCAACGTGGTTGATATTAAAAATAGTTTTAGCGCTTGACATCTTATTGATTGGATTAATAAATAAATAATAATAAATTTCAAAATATAATGAATTTATATAATTTTAATTTATATTTTCTATTTTTCGGGATTTGAGGTAACTACGTCTAATCCTCATACGTTTTCTAATTATTTTTTACAGTGGACATTAAGTGTACTACGAAAAACTATATGTTTCTCTTTCTATCCTATAGTATACATACGAGTATGTGATGAAAACGATTCCCTTTTTTTTTAATGAATAAAATCTGCTCAATAACTTAAAAATAATTTCAAATCTTATGTGTAAGGTCTTAAAGCTGATAAAATAAGGATAATTCCTTATTCTATTTAAAATTGAGCACTGAAGTCTTTTCAGTATCATGAAAAGATCTCCAAACCCTCTAATCTTTCATCAATAACTTCTATTAGAAATACTTTCAGAACTTGAAGGTATCGTTAACAAAATTTCGGTTTAATAATAGCTAAAACTTATATATCTTCTAATATAGTGAGAATGATTTATGATTATTTAAAAGTTAATTTTTATGTGCGCTTGGATATGTAGAGTTATCTTTAATGTAGTAAAACAGTCTCAAACAGTTCATGTTTGTTTTTATATAATAGTTACCTCGGGTATTGGGACTATTTTTTCTTTGACATCATTGCCATCACTTTGTAAAACTTTCCTCTTATTTGAGTTTCCAAGAGTTTCAAATATAGAATGCTTAACTTGCTTTTGTTTACCTTCACAAAGTTATAGTTTTTATTTCAAATGTTAAAAACATACAGACAGCATTTTACCTGACGAGAGTATTGATTTCTTAACCAAGGCAGACTTCTTCAAATCCGCACGTTTTAACCGCAACCCTTTATCGGAAACTTCAGTTTTGAACCAACTTACTATATTAGTATCTACAGACATAGTAATACCGTTCTCATCAACGTGGTTGATATCAAAATTAGTTTCAGCGCTTGACATCTTATTGATTGGATTAATAAATAAATAATAATAAATTTCAAAATATAATGAATTTAAATAATTTTAATTTATATTTTCCATTTTTCGGGATTTGAGGTAACTACGTCTAATTTTCATACGTTATCTAATTATTTTTTACAGTGGACATTAAGTGTACTACGAAAAACTATATGTTTCTCTTTCTATCCTATAGTATACATACAAGTATGTGATGAAAAGGGTTCCCTTTTTCTTTTAATGAATAAAATCTGCTCAATAACTTAAAAATGATTTCAAATCTTTTGTGTAAGGTCTTAAGGCTGATAAAATAAGGATAATTCTTTATTCAATTTAAAATTGAGCACTGAAGTGTTTTCAGTATCATGAAAAGATCTCTAACTTCTATTAGAAATACTTTCAGAGCTTGAAGGTATCGTTAACAAAATTTCGGTTTAATACTAGCTAACACTTATATATCTTCTAATATAGTGAGAATGATTTATGATTATTTAAATGTTAATTTTTATGTGCGCTTGGATATGTAGAGTTATCTTTAATGTAGTAAAACAGTCTCAAACAGTTCATGTTTGTTTTTATATAATACTTACCTCGGATATCGGGACTATTTTTTCTTCGACATCATTAACGTCACTTTGTAAAATTTTCTTCTTAGTTGAGTTTCCGAGAGTTTCAAATATAGAATGCTTAACTCGCTTTTTTTTACCTACACGAAGTTATAGTTTTTATTTCAAATATTAAAAATATACAGACTGCATTTTACCTGACGAGAATATTGATTTCTTAACCAAGGCAGACTTCTTCAAATCCGTACGTTTTAACCGCAACCCTTTATCGGAAACTTCAGTTTTCAACCAACTTACTGTATTAGTATCTACAGGCATAGTAATACCGTTCTCATCCACGTGGTTGATATCAAAATTAGTTAAAGAGCTTGACATCTTCTTAAGTGAATTCTTAACGCAGACAGATTTTTATGAACGTCCTCAACGATATCAAAACGAAATGAATAAATAAAATTTTTATTAATGTCATTTTTTTCTGAAAGATAGGTTATGTTACTACGATTAAATTTTTTATTTGACATATGGTGAAAATCAAAAAATTTGACATTTAGGAGGTTTACTTGTAGACGCGGTAATGATTTCTATAAGAAGTTGTGTTTCAATTTTTTCTGTGCTGGAAAAAATTTTTAAAAATTAAATTTAAATTTTTTTGACAGAAGTTTCAAATTTCCTACTCTATTAATTCACAGAAAAGATATTAAATACTTTTGACAATTAAGTTTATGAGCTCCCTAAGAACTCAAGAACAACTCAAGATTTTAAGGGCCCTCCCAAGTGGGAGGTACAATTGGATATTTACTTTATTGGAACAACAGTTAGAGAAGAACTAGTGACACCATGTCTGAAAAGGTTAATGAAGTAGATATATCAGAGCCCCCTGATATCCCTCTACAGGCTAATTGTGAAATCTCAACTGAAATGGTCAATATCAGTGTGAAGGAACTCTTTGAACTTAAAAAATTCAATGAAATTCTACAAGCCAACTATATCAAACTTAGGCAGCAATTTCAAATGCTCCAGGACCGGTATTCTGATTTGGAAAAACAATTGAAGCTAAAAAACCCAGTAGCTACTGGTAATCAATTAAATAATAATAAAAGGAAGAAAGTTTCACCGCCTTCTCCAGTTAGCTCCCCCCATGACTCCGCTGGCTCTAATGAGGAAGAAATGGAGATAGAAATTTCTGTTGCGGAGCCTGACCCTTTTAAGATTGAAGATACTGAAATTGATTTCCCGAAATATAATCCAAAAGTCAAATCGACCAAACAGGTGAAATCAGTTGTAAAGAAAAGACTTCCTAAAACAGCACCAAATTCAACAGCAGTCAAGTCAATTTCAACAGGAAATTCTCAATCCCCAACTCCTGAGCGGATCTCTACGCCTGAAAACATCCATACTAATGGTATTGTTTCTGACAATATAACGAATCGAAATCTTTTACAACCTGTAACCTCAAATAAGAAAGTAGGCAAAGTTGTACCTATTGTTCTCCGTCGAACCAACACGTGGAACTCTTTAGTCAAGCAATTTTTAACAAGAAACATTAATTTTAGCGAGGCAAAGAAGGTCCGTTTGGGCATACAAATAACTCCTGGCACCATAGATGACCATCGCAAGATAACAAGATATCTAAATGAGATTAGTGAGCCATTTCACACCCACTTTCTTCCTGACGAAAAACACCTCAATATAATAATTAGAGGTTTAGAAGGTCAGAGTATAGATGATATTAAAGAAGATCTTGCAGGCCAAGGATTTAGTATCTTTGAATGCCATTTTTTGAAAACTAGACAAGCTGCCAGCAATTTAGTTAAAATCAGACTGCCAGCTGACCAGAAGAACATATATAATGTTTCCAGTATTTGTCATTTAAAGGTGATTATTGAAGCCCAGCGCCCTCTAAAAGGTCCCCCACAATGTCATAACTGTCAACAGTTCGGGCATGTCGCTACTAACTGTAGAGCCACACCAAAGTGTGTTAAGTGTGAGGGCTCACACCATCACCAACAATGTACAAAACCACGCGATGTTGCCCCGATTTGTTCGAACTGTGGTGGTGGCCACCCAGCCAACTATAGAGGATGCCCTTGCGCTCCGCAAATGCTGAAGAAAAAGAATGTCTCCACACCAATTTCTACGGTCAGTTCTAAAGTGCAGCCTTCAATTTCTTATGCCGATGCTTTGAAGAAGGGAAGTACAGCTGAGCAAGTTTCGTCCAATTCCCACTTGCTAACCTCCCACATGGAGAAGCTTTTAAATAATATGCAGATACAACTTAGTACAATGATGAGAACTATGATGGAGTCCTTGTTACAAAGTTTAGTGCCGACCCTAGCTTCTTAATGAGTTTGTCATCATATCGACTTAAAATTGTGACGTGGAATGCCAATTCCATTATTAACAAGAAACATGAGGTCATCCAATTCCTGCATGATTTTGAAATTGACATTATGTTGATCCAAGAAACATTTCTGAAACCTGCTATTCATTTTAAAATTCCCAATTATGTTGTTTACAGATCAGACAGAAACTCAAGAAGAGGTGGTGGCACAGCCATCGTGATTAAATATGGCATTAAACATCATGCTACAATTTGCAACCAACAATCGCTCGAAACAACATCTGTACTGGTTGAAAGCCAACTTGGTAATATAAATTTTGTGTCAGCATACAGGCCACCGAGTTTGCAAATTCTCCCTAATGAACTTGAGGTTATCCTCAACAACGAGACACCTACTTTCTTAGCGGGCGATTTAAATGCATATCATAGCAGCTGGGGTGACAGAACTTCAAACAGAGCTGGCAGGGATATTGATGGGCTCGCCACTGAACACTTATGGCAGATTCATGCGCCAGGTGAACCGACACATTATGGCAGAATCACAGGCCACGTCATTGACTTCGGAATTTCAAATAACTTAGAATCGAATGTGCACGTAGAGGTCCTTGATGAACTGGACTCGGATCACAAACCAGTTCTTTTTATTCTTGAAAATTGTCCAGCAATCAACATGAATCTCACGTACATAACCACTAACTGGGACTCATTTAAGAATCAGGTTGATATTTCAAATATAAATAATTGGCCAGTAACTTCTGAGGATCTTGATGACTGTATCCAAAAACTCACTCTCAAGATTAAGGAGGCATTGGATAATAGCTCCACCACCAGGACCAGAAAACCAAGTAACTACTTTTATCTGCCGCATTACATCAAACAAATCATTAGACAAAGGAATGCGATTCGAAAATTTGCTCAAATAACTGGAGATCCTATGAGAAGAAGAGAAGCCAATCGTCTCTCTAATGTAATCAGGAAAAAAATTGGCAAATATAATAATGATAAATGGTGCGAATTTCTTTCAGGAATTGATACAGGTAATAAAACCTTCTGGGCTTTGAACAAGTATTTTAGGCTTAAACGTAAACCGGTAGTGCCGCCTATTTATGTAGCTACCGGCATGGCTTTCTCAGACATAGCCAAAGCTGAGGCCTTTGCAGATTCTTTGGAGCTGCAATTTCAGCCCAATACTGATAGTGACTATAATTCTCTGGTAGAAGAAAATATTGCCGAAGAGGCTGCTAATCTTAGGAACCTGATGTCAGATGAAAGCATCTCACAGTGTTCCAGAGATGAGATTAAATGTATTATTTCGAGTCTAAAGACCAGATCGGCACCCGGATATGATAATATCAGTAACAAATGCCTACGTAATCTTCCAGAAGATGCAATCCAATGCATTGTTAACATCATCAATTGCATGCTTAGGCTTGGCGAATTTCCAAAGGCCTGGAAGTTGGCCTCAGTCGTAGTGTTTCCTAAACCGGACAAGAATCCTTCATTTCCGCAGAACTGGCGTCCTATCAGTCTGCTCCCAACTATGGGGAAATTGGCAGAACGAGTAATCCTGACTAGGCTTAAAACAGCGGTAAATGCCCTAAATATACTTCCTGACGAACAATTCGGGTTTAGGGATAATCTCTCCACGGAACTACAACTAGCCAGAACTGCGCAGCTGATACAAACCGCTCTAAGTAAACGGGAGTCAACCGGGATGATTATATTTGACATAGCCAAAGCTTTTGACAAGGTCTGGCATGATGGTCTAATAGTCAAATTAGCCCGTTTTGGGATCCCTAGTGGTTTGACTAAAATCATTGGTAGCTTCCTGCAAGAAAGGTCCTTCCGTACTAAAATTAATAGCACTCTTTCGTCCGCCCGATCAATTGTAGCAGGTGTACCTCAAGGGTCGCCTTTGTCTCCCACATTGTTTAATGTATACACGGCAGACATCCCCACCTTAAGTCCCACATCAATGGCGCTTTACGCAGACGACACATGCTTGATCTACTCGGATCGGGATGCCTTAAATGTAAGCAACACGTTACAGGGAAATATAGACCTTATGGTGGAATACTTCCAAAAATGGAAGATTAAAATTAATAATGACAAAACCAAGGCTATATTTATAACTCGAAAAAGAAGACAGCATCCTCCAAGAGTGAGCGTTTGCGACACGGAGATACGGTGGGAGGATAACATAAAATATCTGGGGGTCACTTTTGACAAACGGTTCAATTGGCTTAAACATTTGAAATACAAACGGAATAGCTGCTCTAAGATTCTACATTTATTAAAGCCGCTATTTAATAATTATCACTTCAACTTTAAAAACAGAAAGTTACTTTATACGCAAGTAATTAGACCTGCACTTCTGTACGGATGTGTTACATATAGCAAAGCCTCAAATACCACCTTAAAGCAATTACAGATAGCTCAAAACCTGGCCTTAAGAAAACTGTTTAAGATTCCATGGTACATTAGATCTACGGACATACATAGAGATCTTAGGATTGACTCAGTGAAAAAATATATCAGAGACAGAGCTTTAAAATTATTCACTAAAGTTGATACGCTACTTAACCCTGCCATAACAATCCTCAAGTCCACTTCTGGACTCTCAGGAAGATATGCTGATTTAAGGTCCGTCATCAATTAAAAGACAAATAAATGATATGATTTTTTAGCCTAGTTAAAGCCTAGTGTGGGGTAGTGATAAACCCCCCAGCCATTATAGAGTAAAAGTGCGTAATAGCACTAACTCAAGAAGAAGAAGAAGAAGACTTGTAGACGCATTTTTGTGTTACAACTTTAAACATAATAAGAAATTCGATAAATGAATCAAGACATATTCAAATTAGTGTTACTGTATCATTAAGAACTTTAAATACTTATTGTAGTGCTTAAAATTAATATTTGAATGCATTATCTAAAATATTTTTTTTATTAAATATAAGTTTACGACAACAATTGATAATTACCTGACTTGGTTAGTTTTTTACAAATAATTAAAATAGAGCAATTTGGTAATCTTATTTGAAATGGAAAAAATTAAATAGGATTCAATCAAATAGGAAATGGATACTGTTTAGGCAACCTTGCACCATC